GTAAAAGTCTCATATTCCATTACTATGACAGAGTTACTCTTCGATCGATCTGACCTTGTTGCCCCTGAATTATATTCAGATCGTAACGACATGTCCGATGCAATGCTTCTATGCAAATAAAATGCAGGTTGGGAGGGCACTGGGAGAGTGAAGGAGTAGCTATTCATCATGAGAATAACAGAAGCCATGGTTGGCCTATCAGCCACATTTTCTTGCACACATAGTAATCCAATGTGGATGCATCTCATTATTTCATTTCTTGAACTAGTCATCAATGTGGGATCTATTAGATTTGAAGCTGTCCCTTCCCTCCAACTTCTCCAGGCCTGCAATGATTTGTGAATTTGATCAGAGATAAGTTTTCTTTCTTTGATTCGTTGAACTAAATTGTATTGAGATACCAAAACTATATTATATTTTCACTTACGAAGCTTAGAAGATCCTCCGCATTTTCTCCATGCTGGAAGCCACTATTTTTTTGTCCACTGACTATCTCTAGAATTAACACACCAAAACTGAAGACATCGGACTTAACAGAAAAGTGCCCATGCATTGCATACTCGGGAGCCATATACCCACTACATATCAACAGAAAGAATGTCAACGTTCACCAGCACATATGGAAAGGAAATTGTTGACATAACAAACATAAGCCCACAAGCAGTTAAGTGCATATTCTTACTAGGTCCCAACAATCCGACTAGTATTGCCTTGCGTTTGATCAAGCACGAACAACCTTGCCATGCCAAAATCTGAAATTTTGGGGTTCATTTCTGCATCTATCAAGATGTTACTAGCTTTGAGATCACGATGAATAATTCTAAGGCGAGAGTCTTCGTGGAGGTAAAGGAGGCCTCGAGCAGTGCCTACTATGATTTTGTAGCGCCTCTCCCAATCTAGGTGTGCACGCTTTGTTGGGTCTGCAAATATATTAATGCAAAATCAAGACTTCAATTACAATGTTTGCTTGCATACATGTCACACAATTGGAATTTTATAATAAACATTCGAAGTTAAACGAAAACAATGCATAATTCTAGACATACCAAATATGATGTGATCGAGACTTGCATTAGGGACAAATTCATAGACAAGAAGCCGCTCACTTCCTTCTAAGCAGAAACCTAAGAGTCTAACTAAATTCCGGTGTTGAAGTTTAGCCACTAACAAGACCTCATTTTTAAATTCTAAGTCTCCTTGTCTAGAGTTTGTAGAGAGTCTTTTTACAGCTATATCTTCTCCATTGAAAAGCCTACCCTGAAAAAATATATAGGTACGGAATTAAAAAATAGAAATGAGATAAGTGGTATTCAAGAAATATCAAAGTTATAAGTTCTTGTTATTAACTTGTCATTACCTTGTAAACAAATCCAAATCCGCCCTGTCCAAGTTTATTTGCTTCAGAAAAGTCATCTGTAGAAACTCTAATGGTGGCCAAGTCAAATTGCAAGGATTCCGCAGATCCAATTTCATCTGTATCGTCGCTGCCTGAGGAACAATTGAAATTCTAAAAATGCCTATAAAAATAGTAGTACTTGGCTTCCTCCCTATCAAATGGAATAATATGATTAATTAATGTTCACTAGAGTTGCCTGTTTACCTGGAAGTAACTTCCTAGTTTCAAGTTTTTTCTTTGTCCTCTTTACTCTTAAACAAATGCAGAAGAATATAACTATTAGTACCACAGA